GGTGCCTGTTGTCTCTCAGAACAGTCCCTGCCGTGGGTGCCTGTTGTCTCTCAGAACAGTCCCTGCCGTGGGTGCCTGTTGTCTCTCAGAACAGTCCCTGCCGTGGGTGCCTGTTGTCTCAGAACAGTCCCTGCCACAGGTGCCTGTTGTCTCTCAGAACAGTCCCTGCCGTGGGTGCCTGTTGTCTCAGAACAGTCCCTGCCACGGGTGCCTGTTGTCTCAGAACAGTCCGTGCCGTGGGTGCCTGTTGTCTCTCAGAACAGTCCCTGCCGTGGGTGCCTGTTGTCTCAAAACAGTCCCTGCCGTGGGTGCCTGTTGTCTCAGAACAGTCCCTGCCGTGGGTGCCTGTTGTCTCTCAGAACAGTCCCTGCCACGGGTGCCTGTTGTCTCAGAACAGTCCCTGCCGTGGGTGCCTGTTGTCTCAGAACAGTCCCTGCCGTGGGTGCCTGTTGTCTCTCAGAACAGTCCCTGCCGTGGGTGCCTGTTGTCTCTCAGAACAGTCCCTGCCGTGGGTGCCTGTTGTCTCTCAGAACAGTCCCTGCCACGGGTGCCTGTTGTCTCAGAACAGTCCCTGCCACAGGTGCCTGTTGTCTCTCAGAACAGTCCCTGCCGTGGGTGCCTGTTGTCTCAGAACAGTCCCTGCCACGGGTGCCTGTTGTCTCAGAACAGTCCGTGCCGTGGGTGCCTGTTGTCTCTCAGAACAGTCCCTGCCGTGGGTGCCTGTTGTCTCAGAACAGTCCCTGCCGTGGGTGCCTGTTGTCTCAGAACAGTCCCTGCCGTGGGTGCCTGTTGTCTCAGAACAGTCCCTGCCGTGGGTGCCTGTTGTCTCAGAACAGTCCCTGCCACGGGTGCCTGTTGTCTCAGAACAGTCCGTGCCGTGGGTGCCTGTTGTCTCAGAACAGTCCCTGCCGTGGGTGCCTGTTGTCTCTCAGAACAGTCCGTGCCGTGGGTGCCTGTTGTCTCTCAGAACAGTCCCTACCGTGGGTGCCTGTTGTCTCAGAACAGTCCCTGCCGTGGGTGCCTGTTGTCTCTCAGAACAGTCCCTGCCGTGGGTGCCTGTTGTCTCTCAGAACAGTCCCTGCCGTGGGTGCCTGTTGTCTCAGAACAGTCCGTGCCGTGGGTGCCTGTTGTCTCTCAGAACAGTCCCTGCCGTGGGTGCCTGTTGTCTCTCAGAACAGTCCCTGCCGTGGGTGCCTGTTGTCTCTCAGAACAGTCCCTACCGTGGGTGCCTGTTGTCTCAGAACAGTCCCTGCCGTGGGTGCCTGTTGTCTCTCAGAACAGTCCGTGCCGTGGGTGCCTGTTGTCTCTCAGAACAGTCCGTGCCGTGGGTGCCTGTTGTCTCAGAACAGTCCCTGCCGTGGGTGCCTGTTGTCTCTCAGAACAGTCCCTGCCGTGGGTGCCTGTTGTCTCTCAGAACAGTCCCTGCCGTGGGTGCCTGTTGTCTCAGAACAGTCCCTGCCGTGGGTGCCTGTTGTCTCTCAGAACAGTCCCTGCCGTGGGTGCCTGTTGTCTCTCAGAACAGTCCCTGCCGTGGGTGCCTGTTGTCTCTCAGAACAGTCCCTGCCGTGGGTGCCTGTTGTCTCTCAGAACAGTCCCTGCTGTGGGTGCCTGTTGTCTCTCAGAACAGTCCCTGCCACGGGTGCCTGTTGTCTCAGAACAGTCCCTGCTGTGGGTGCCTGTTGTCTCTCAGAACAGTCCCTGCCGTGGGTGCCTGTTGTCTCTCAGAACAGTCCCTGCCGTGGGTGCCTGTTGTCTCAGAACAGTCCCTTCCACGGGTGCCTGTTGTCTCAGAACAGTCCGTGCCGTGGGTGCCTGTTGTCTCTCAGAACAGTCCCTGCCGTGGGTGCCTGTTGTCTCAGAACAGTCCGTGCCGTGGGTGCCTGTTGTCTCTCAGAACAGTCCCTGCCGTGGGTGCCTGTTGTCTCTCAGAACAGTCCGTGCCGTGGGTGCCTGTTGTCTCTCAGAACAGTCCCTGCCGTGGGTGCCTGTTGTCTCTCAGAACAGTCCCTGCCGTGGGTGCCTGTTGTCTCTCAGAACAGTCCCTGCCACGGGTGCCTGTTGTCTCAGAACAGTCCCTGCCGTGGGTGCCTGTTGTCTCTCAGAACAGTCCCTGCCGTGGGTGCCTGTTGTCTCTCAGAACAGTCCCTGCCGTGGGTGCCTGTTGTCTCTCAGAACAGTCCCTGCCGTGGGTGCCTGTTGTCTCAGAACAGTCCCTTCCACGGGTGCCTGTTGTCTCAGAACAGTCCGTGCCGTGGGTGCCTGTTGTCTCTCAGAACAGTCCCTGCCGTGGGTGCCTGTTGTCTCAGAACAGTCCGTGCCGTGGGTGCCTGTTGTCTCTCAGAACAGTCCCTGCCGTGGGTGCCTGTTGTCTCTCAGAACAGTCCCTGCCGTGGGTGCCTGTTGTCTCTCAGAACAGTCCCTGCCGTGGGTGCCTGTTGTCTCTCAGAACAGTCCCTGCTGTGGGTGCCTGTTGTCTCTCAGAACAGTCCCTGCCACGGGTGCCTGTTGTCTCAGAACAGTCCCTGCTGTGGGTGCCTGTTGTCTCTCAGAACAGTCCCTGCCGTGGGTGCCTGTTGTCTCTCAGAACAGTCCCTGCCGTGGGTGCCTGTTGTCTCAGAACAGTCCCTTCCACGGGTGCCTGTTGTCTCAGAACAGTCCGTGCCGTGGGTGCCTGTTGTCTCTCAGAACAGTCCCTGCCGTGGGTGCCTGTTGTCTCAGAACAGTCCGTGCAGTGGGTGCCTGTTGTCTCTCAGAACAGTCCCTGCCGTGGGTGCCTGTTGTCTCTCAGAACAGTCCCTGCCGTGGGTGCCTGTTGTCTCTCAGAACAGTCCCTGCCGTGGGTGCCTGTTGTCTCTCAGAACAGTCCCTGCCGTGGGTGCCTGTTGTCTCTCAGAACAGTCCCTGCTGTGGGTGCCTGTTGTCTCTCAGAACAGTCCCTGCCACGGGTGCCTGTTGTCTCAGAACAGTCCCTGCTGTGGGTGCCTGTTGTCTCTCAGAACAGTCCCTGCCGTGGGTGCCTGTTGTCTCTCAGAACAGTCCCTGCCGTGGGTGCCTGTTGTCTCTCAGAACAGTCCGTGCCGTGGGTGCCTGTTGTCTCAGAACAGTCCCTGCCGTGGGTGCCTGTTGTCTCTCAGAACAGTCCCTGCCGTGGGTGCCTGTTGTCTCAGAACAGTCCCTGCCGTGGGTGCCTGTTGTCTCTCAGAACAGTCCCTGCCGTGGGTGCCTGTTGTCTCTCAGAACAGTCCCTGCCGTGGGTGCCTGTTGTCTCTCAGAACAGTCCCTGCCACGGGTGCCTGTTGTCTCTCAGAACAGTCCCTGCCGTGGGTGCCTGTTGTCTCTCAGAACAGTCCCTGCCGTGGGTGCCTGTTGTCTCAGAACAGTCCCTTCCACGGGTGCCTGTTGTCTCAGAACAGTCCGTGCCGTGGGTGCCTGTTGTCTCTCAGAACAGTCCGTGCCGTGGGTGCCTGTTGTCTCTCAGAACAGTCCCTGCCGTGGGTGCCTGTTGTCTCAGAACAGTCCCTGCCGTGGGTGCCTGTTGTCTCTCAGAACAGTCCCTGCCGTGGGTGCCTGTTGTCTCTCAGAACAGTCCCTGCCGTGGGTGCCTGTTGTCTCTCAGAACAGTCCCTGCCGTGGGTGCCTGTTGTCTCTCAGAACAGTCCCTGCTGTGGGTGCCTGTTGTCTCTCAGAACAGTCCCTGCCACGGGTGCCTGTTGTCTCAGAACAGTCCCTGCTGTGGGTGCCTGTTGTCTCTCAGAACAGTCCCTGCCGTGGGTGCCTGTTGTCTCTCAGAACAGTCCCTGCCGTGGGTGCCTGTTGTCTCAGAACAGTCCCTTCCATGGGTGCCTGTTGTCTCAGAACAGTCCGTGCCGTGGGTGCCTGTTGTCTCTCAGAACAGTCCCTGCCGTGGGTGCCTGTTGTCTCAGAACAGTCCGTGCCGTGGGTGCCTGTTGTCTCTCAGAACAGTCCCTGCCGTGGGTGCCTGTTGTCTCTCAGAACAGTCCCTGCCGTGGGTGCCTGTTGTCTCTCAGAACAGTCCCTGCCGTGGGTGCCTGTTGTCTCTCAGAACAGTCCCTGCTGTGGGTGCCTGTTGTCTCTCAGAACAGTCCCTGCCACGGGTGCCTGTTGTCTCAGAACAGTCCCTGCTGTGGGTGCCTGTTGTCTCTCAGAACAGTCCCTGCCGTGGGTGCCTGTTGTCTCTCAGAACAGTCCCTGCCGTGGGTGCCTGTTGTCTCTCAGAACAGTCCGTGCCGTGGGTGCCTGTTGTCTCAGAACAGTCCCTGCCGTGGGTGCCTGTTGTCTCTCAGAACAGTCCCTGCCGTGGGTGCCTGTTGTCTCAGAACAGTCCCTGCCGTGGGTGCCTGTTGTCTCTCAGAACAGTCCCTGCCGTGGGTGCCTGTTGTCTCTCAGAACAGTCCCTGCCGTGGGTGCCTGTTGTCTCTCAGAACAGTCCCTGCCACGGGTGCCTGTTGTCTCTCAGAACAGTCCCTGCCGTGGGTGCCTGTTGTCTCTCAGAACAGTCCCTGCCGTGGGTGCCTGTTGTCTCTCAGAACAGTCCCTGCCGTGGGTGCCTGTTGTCTCTCAGAACAGTCCCTGCCACGGGTGCCTGTTGTCTCTCAGAACAGTCCCTGCCACGGGTGCCTGTTGTCTCTCAGAACAGCCCCTGCCACGGGTGCCTGTTGTCTCAGAACAGTCCCTGCCGTGGGTGCCTGTTGTCTCAGAACAGTCCCTGCCGTGGGTGCCTGTTGTCTCTCAGAACAGTCCCTGCCGTGGGTGCCTGTTGTCTCTCAGAACAGTCCGTGCCGTGGGTGCCTGTTGTCTCTCAGAACAGTCCCTGCCGTGGGTGCCTGTTGTCTCTCAGAACAGTCCCTGCCGTGGGTGCCTGTTGTCTCAGAACAGTCCCTGCCGTCGGTGCCTGTTGTCTCTCAGAACAGTCCCTGCCGTGGGTGCCTGTTGTCTCAGAACAGTCCCTGCCACGGGTGCCTGTTGTCTCTCCTCCACAGGTCTGGACCTGCTAGCGAGGGCTCCGCACACACTGAACGACCAAAAACCGCTCCCCTCCGTCGGCCCGCCGGGTGACTACCGCCACTCTGAGATAACCGCTGCCTGCTGCCCCCCCCGGGCCGGTTCCCCCCCCTGCACGGACCCCGGCTGGCAGCTCTCAGGGCGGGTCTGCCCCGCGGGTGCTCCCCACGTCCCCCCACCTCTGCCGGGTGTGATTTAGAAAATCAGAGGAAAAGCCCTCGGGGTGCCCAGCGCCTCGCGCGCCGCAGGGTGCCCCTCCTCTGCCCCGCATCCCCCCCCCCCCCCACCCCGAGCTGGGGAGCATCCTCTGGGGCCAGGGCCGGGGGGGAACCTGGGCCACCGGGGCAGCTGCACGGTGGCCCTTGGCCAGTGACGGGCCCGAATGGCAACGCTTGGCACAGGCGGGAGCCGGCCTGGCCAGGGCAGCGACGCCGGGAGGCCGGTCCCCTTGTAAATGCGCGACCTGAGCGTTAGGCCTTGCCCTGGGTTGGGACCCCGGCCCCTTTCTCTCTCTAGTATTTAATTTTACTGCCAAGATGTCAGGCTGATCCATCTGGGAAGAGGGTGTTTTCTTGAGTAGCCAGGTACGATTTTTATGCCACAGCTAGTTCTCAAATAACACAAGCCCATTGTTCGCCACCCTGTAATAATGGTCTCCACATTAAAGAGAAAAAGCCTCCGTTGCATTTTTACTCACATTTTCTACTGTTTTTAAGATTGTAATATAGATTTGGTTATTTCTTCATTGACAATAAAAGCAGAAAGAGCTGTTCTTCCTGGCCAGCGTGAGTTATTGCAGGCTCCCGGTGGGAGCCAGTGGCCAGCACTGGTCCGGGGGCAGCTCCAGCCTGCAACCCGCCCGCCCGCCCCACGGGTGCTGCCCCGGGGGGGTGGGCACGGCCACGGCCCCCGCTGTGACAAACTTGGGGGGGGGGGGGCCAGGGATTGCCCACTTGGGGGGAGAGCAAGTTCCCAGCTGGCCGGGCTGCCCCCCCCATAGCACGTACCCCCGGCAAGTCCCGACCACGCCACGACGACCCACCCACCCGCGTGTCCTGTGCCAGCACAGCCCGGCACCCCCCCGGCCACCCACCCCCCCACACCAGGACCCCCCCCGACCACCCACGCCCCCCCCCGGCCACCCACACCCCCCTGGGACCCCCACAGCCTCCCCCACCTCCCCTGGGACCCCCACCGCCACCCACCCCCCCGGGACCCCCACGGCCTCCTCCACCCACCCTGGGACCCCCACGGCCACCCCCCCCCTCCAGGACCCCCACAGCCTCCCCCACCTCCCCTGGGACCCCCACCGCCACCCAACCCCCCCGGGACCCCCACGGCCTCCTCCACCCACCCCAGGACCCCCACAGCCTCCCCCACCTCCCCCGGGACCCCCCACGGCCACCCACCCCCCTGGGACCCCCAGGGCCTCCTCCACCCCCCCTGGGACCCCCACAGCCTCCTCCAACCCCCCCCCCCCCAGGACCCCCACAGCCGCTCACCCGGCCCGGCCACACGGCAGGAGCCAGCGCACGTGATGGTCGATGGTTTTTGGACACAAACAGCGCTGGCAGACTGGGAGGGGTTTTGGTTTTGGTTTTTTTTTATTATTTTTCTTTAAATATTTGTTGCCAGACTTCGTATAGGAGCAAACTTCTTCACAGCACCACGAGCCATCTACTATTCAGAATAGGAAGAATAAGACAAGTAGAGGTGAAATCTAAGCACAGAGGAGCAGGGAGAAGCACCAAGATGCATAGCTTGACAGATGGGATACGATACAGAGTCCATAACTTAATCATAAAAAATATATATATGTATATATCCATCATGTAGAACTTTATGGATTAATTTTTTTAGATACATATTTTTTCTTTTCAACAGATATTTTCAGGCGGGTGATTTTTTTTTTTTTTTTTACTATTTTTAAAGTCTTTTTTGTTGTTTTTTGTTTTGTTTTTTTTTTAAAAGAAATTTCAAAGTTGTGCCAAACACATCTGGATCAGTGACCACAATGGGAGAGACGGGGCGGGGGGGGGGGGGGGTGGGGGAAAGAGGGAGGGAGAGGAAGGTGGAGGGAGAGACCACTCTACGTCTCAAGAAAAGAAAGGAACAGCAACACTTCGTTTTGAAACCACAAGCAAAAAATGCATTCATCAGGACTCAAGCGACTGAACCAGACTCCAACTCCAGTTTATACATGAATATACAGCGGTGCGTCCCGGAGAACACACGCGAGCACACGCACCCCCCGCGTGCACACACACGCACACCCACACACGCGCACACCAAAGAAATGCTGGGAAAAAGAACAAAAAAAAAAAAAAAAAAAAGAGTAATAAACAAAACCAAACCCTGAAGACACTCCAAAAGAAATCAAACACCTCCAGTATAAGAATTAACGAAAACGTCCATAAAACAAGGCACATCCTTTGAGTTCTTAACGGTGTAAAAATAAAGACGTGACACTGAATCCCAACGGAAAGACCCGAACAGAACTGCTCGCACGTACCTTCCACCCGGAGAAAAGGTAAATATTGTGCTACTCTTAGAATGAGTTTGCCACAAGACACACAGCTTAGTATAATCTAATAGTTTTTCTCAAGCTAAAATCCAGTTTTCTCTTGATTTCTTTTAAACTGCTTTATATATAATTGCTAATATTTTTAAAATCTTTTAAATATATATTTGTTAAAGTTTATTCTTTTTATTATTTCGGGGGGTGGGGGAAAATCTGGTTTATATTTTTTTCTTTTTTTTTTTTTCCCCGCCAATAAATTAATACTTCTTTATAGCTTATCACTGTCCACCCCCCCCCCCCCGCTGCGGGGAGGGGCCGGGCAGGGGCACGTCCCGCTGCCCCCCCGCACCGCCGAGGGCCCCGAGACGGGGCGTTCGCTCCCCATTTCACAACCAACGCAAAGAAAAACAACAAAAAATCCCCCAAAAAAACAAACAAACAAACAAAAAGCAAACAAACAAACAAACAAAAAAAAAAAAAAAAAAAAAAAACCCTTTTTTCACGCCTGAGGTGAGCCCCCGCCCTGCGAAGGGGAGCCCCACGGCCGGGCCCCTCGGGGAGCATCCCCCCCCCCCCCCCGCCCCACGGAGCATCCCCCACGCCAGCCCAAGGCTCGTGCGATGCCGCGGCGGGACCCCGCGCCCTGCCCGCCCCCGGCAAACGCCAACGGAGAAAGAAAATTTAAAAAAAATAAAAAAAATAATTAAAAAAAAATATATATATATCTATATAAAAAAAAAAAAAAAAAAGGAGAAAAGAAACCCAAGTGCATTTGCCCACCCGCCACCAGCAAACGCCACCGGCGACACGCGGCTGCGCCACCGCGCCGGGCAGGGCTTGTGCTACATTGGGGCCGTGGCCACCACCGGGCAGGTGGGGGGAGAGACCCCCCCGCACCCCCGGCAGCCGGTGGGCGCCTTTTCGGTCCAGGGCGTGTTGCTTCATTTCTTCTGTTGGTTTTTTTTTTTGTTTTGTTTTTTTGCTTTTGCAAAAGGGAGTCCTGCCGGAGCCGGCGCCGAGTCCGTGAGCACAATCCTGAGGTATCTTCTTCTTTGTGCAAACCCCGAGGGACGGGATGTCCGGGAGGGGACGGCTGTACAAAGGGGATGGGGCAGGCCGGGGGGGCCCGGGGGGGGGGGGATGTTGAGGAGGGGAGGAGGATTGGGGGGGGGGGGGGTGTCGTGGATCGTTGTGCCCTTGTGCCCACGTAAGCCCTGAGGTTCGCGGGGGCCTTGGTGCCCCTCACTCCAACATGGCGTCCAGCTGGTCCGCCAGGTCGTCGAACATGCTGCCGATGTCGTCCAGGATGCTCACGGTGCTCTTCGACTCCGCGGCCGAGCTGGGTGAGGGGGGGGGGGACGGGACGGGGGGAAACGGGTCAGCGCGTGGGGCAGCGGCGCCGCGCACACACCCCACCCCACCGCCCCCCACCCGCCCAGCGGCGCTCAGCACCGTGTCCCCCAGTGTCACCTCCCCAGTGCCACCCCACAGCGGGGGCCAGCTCAGCCCCACGCTGCTCTGTCTCCGTGTCCCCCAGTGCCACCCCACAGTGGGGGCAGCTCAGCCCCACGCTGCTCCGGCTCTGTGTCCCCCAGTGTCACCTCCCCAGTGCCACCCCACAGCGGGGGCAGCTCAGCCCCACGCTGCTCCGGCTCTGTGTCCCCCAGTGTCACCTCCCCAGTGCCACCCCACAGCCGGGGCCAGCTCAGCCCCACGCTGCTCCGGCTCCGTGTCCCCCAGTGTCACCTCCCCAGTGCCACCCCACAGCGGGGGCCAGCTCAGCCCCACGCTGCTCTGTCTCCGTGTCCCCAGTGCCACCCCACAGCGGGGGCCAGCTCAGCCCCACGCTGCTCCGGCTCCGTGTCCCCCAGTGTCACCTCCCCAGTGCCACCCCACAGCGGGGGCAGCTCAGCCCCACGCTGCTCTGTCTCCGTGTCCCCAGTGTCACCCCACAGCGGGGGCCAGCTCAGCCCCACGCTGCTCCGGCTCCGTGTCCCCCAGTGTCACCTCCCCAGTGCCACCCCACAGCGGGGGGCCAGCTCAGCCCCACGCTGCTCTGTCTCCGTGTCCCCCAGTGTCACCTCTCCAAGGCAGCCCCCAGCACACCCCCATACCCAGGCCCGCCCCCCCGCCCCGCCCACGCTGCTCTGGCACCCCCAGGACCACCACTCCTGTCCTGTGGGTCTCCAGCACAGCATCCCCCCCCCCCAGCACCACCACCCCCGTGGCGCTCCGGCACACTGTCCCCCCCAGCAAACATCACCCCCGGCACAGTCCCGCTCCCACCACAGTGGCACAACCCCACACCCACCCATCCCTCCCCACAGCCCCCCCCCCCCCCCCCCCGCCGCAGCTCAGTGGCACAGCGCAGCCCCGCTCCCTCCCCAGAGACCACCAGCCGCCCCCCCCCCCCCCCCAGAACCCCCCTCCCTGTCCTTACTCTGCCGCTTGACTGTCCTCCTGCTTGATCTTCTCCTCCACGGCCTGCAGCGCGGCGGCCAGGGACGCGCTCGTCTCCTCCAGCTTCTGCTGCGCCAGCTCGGGGCCGGCGCTGTCGGCGGAGGGGCCGGCGATGGCGGAGCGCGGCGGCTTCACCGGCACTTGCTGGGGCTGGGCGCCGGGCGAGAGGGGCTTGGCGGGGCTGGAGCAGAGCGAGGGCGGCGTGCTGGAGGGCTTGGCGGCGGCGGTGCCCAGCTGCCGGGCCGGGGACGGGGCCGGCGTGGAACCGGCGCTCACCGACTGGATGGCGGCGTGGGGTTTGGGGGGCTTGGGCGCCGTGGGGGGCGGCACAGGCTTGGGGGAGACGGGGGGCGGCGTGCCGTGGACCCTCTTCACCTCTGCGGAGAGAAGGGAGAGGGGCAGCAAGGGGGTGGGACGGGGTGGGATCCCCCCCGCTGCGGTGCTCACGCCGGGGGGAGGCGGGTGGGGTGGGGTGGGGGGGGCACCTACCTGGGCTGCCGGGGCTCGGGATGGGCACCTTTTTGGGGATGGGTGCCGGCGGCCCTGGGACCTTCTGGGGCGGCTGCGTCAGCACGGGTTTGGGGGACACCGGCGGCTTGAAGGGCTTCTTGGGCTCGGCGGGCACCGGGGCGTAGTCAGGGCCGTCGGGGCGGGCGGCGGGCGGCGGGGTGGGGGGCGGCTCGGCCCCGCTCAGCTCGGGGGGCGGCCGCCGTTTGACGGTGCCGGTGCCGTTCTGGTAGACGGCGAGCGTGGGGGGCTCCAGCGCCGGCTCCTTGTCCTTGGCTTTGGGCCGGCGCTTGACGGTGTCGGACTCGGTGAGGACGAAGCGGACGCCGTCCTGTTGGCTCTGCCTGGCCCGGATCCGCCGCTTGAGCGTGGCGCTGGCCTCCACCTTGCCCAGGTCCCCGTGGCGGTGGGCTGGGGACAACCCCTCGCCCGTCTCCCCCCGGGCCGGCCCCAGGGGCCGCGGGCGCTGCTTGATGGTGAGGTTGCCCTCCTCGGCGAAGGGGATGCCGTCCGGGGAGCCGCCGCGCTCCACCCGCAGCCGGTCACCGGGGCCGTCGCCGCCGGCTTCCGACCGCAGGCTGTCGGCACGCTCGCGGCGAGCGGCGGCCACCAGCCCGGTGACGGGGCCGCTGATGGTCCGGCGCCGGTTCACCACCTCCCCGTCCAGCCCGATGGCCTCTTTGTGCTTGACGGTGGCCAGGACGGTGGCTACGCGGGCGCGCTCGGGGCTGCCCGGGGGAGCCCCCGGTTGCAGGTAGTAGCCCTCAGGCGCCTTGCCCGCCGGCCCGCCGGCCCCGGGCGGCTTCTGCAGCGCCAGCGCCCGGGCCCCCCCCGCCGATGGAGGACATCTCCAGCATGGCCGCGATGCTGCGCACGCTGCCGGCGCTGCCCGTGTCCACGCTGCCCCCCAGGTCGCTGGCTCGCCGCTGCTCCCGGCGGCTCTCCCCCTCGGCGGCGGCGGTGGTGGTGGTGGTGGGCGGGGGGGGCCCGGCGGCCGCCTCGCCCTCGCCCTCCTTGGGGAAGTCCTCGGCCATGCCGGCGCTGGAGATGGCGGAGCTGGAGCGCTTCGGCGGGGGCGGCGGGGGCCCCTTCTTCTTGGGGCGGACGGCGAAGGACTGGCTGCGGTTGACGTTCTTGTCGCCGCCGGCGGGTGCCCGCACCGAGTGGCTGCGCCCCACGCGCCGCTGGACGGTGGCGTAAGGCCCCGCGTCCGGCACCAGCAGCTCGTCCCGCTCCTGCTCGCTGTCGGAGGCGGCGTAGCGGTTCAAGCTGTGCGCCCGCTTCTTCGGCCTCCCCGGCTCCTCCTCACCCTCGCCCGCCGGCGGGAGGCACAGCACCGGCACCGAGACGGGCAGGACGGGCACCCCCGGGGGTCCCCCCTCGCCCTCGGCGGGCTGCGGCAGGACGTAGGCGAAGCCACGGTGGGTGGGCGACTGGGGCAGGGAGCGGGGGGACGCGGGGCGCTCGCCCGGCGGCAGCAGTTGCGGGGTGGGCTTCACCTTGGCGGTGGCGTGGGGGCCCTGCGGGGAGGGGGGCCGCGGTTTGCCGGGGGTCTGCGGCGGCGTCAGCTGCCCGGCGGAAGGCGGGAAGGGCTGCCGGGGCTTGCCGGGCACCGGTGGCACGCTGGCACGCTTGACGGGGTGGCCGTGCCGGGGTGGGCGTCCCTCCTTGGGCGGCGCGGGGGGGCCCTCGCCGGCCCCCTCCGCCAGGTACTCCTGGCTCTTGGAGATGGCGGAGGCCGGGGGGGCCCGCGGGCCGTCCCCCAGCAGCTCCTGCGAGCTGCTCATCAGCCTGGCGCGGCCGCCCAGCCCTGGGGGCGAGCGGTAGCCGGGGGCCGCGGGGTTCGCCGCCTTCTCGGGGGGCTCCTCGGGGGCTTCGCCGGTCATGGCCACCTGCAGCTCGCTGCTGAGCTCGCTGTCCTGGAAGGTGGTCATCTTGGGCGACTGGCACTCGGGCGGCTCCGGCGGGGGGGACTCGATGGCCAGCACCTCCGGGCACGCCGCCGCCGCCGCCTTCCTCTTCAGCGTGCCCGGCTCGTACTTGCCCAGCTCGGCGCGCTGCAGCTCCGCCAGCTTCTTCACCGCCAGCATCAGCTTCTTCTGGTGGCCTGGGGACAGCACCGGGCATCAGCGCCGCCGCCGGGGGCCACCGCAGCCAGCGCCGCGGCGCCGGACCTTACCCAGCTTGGTGATGCCGATCTCCTGCAGGTCCTCCCAGGTGATGTCGGTGATGAAGTCGATGTTCTCGTAGCCGTTCTCCACCAGCACCTTGTAGTACTGGGACAGGCCGATGATGGAGAGCCACAGCGCCAGGTTGGCCTGGGGTGGAGGGGGACGCGGGGGACACGGGGGGACACAGCTCAGCACCGGCTGGCAGCGGGGTCTGGCCCCGGCATCCCCCCCGCACCGCAGCACCCGCGCCATGCCATGATCCCGCCTCGCCGGGGACAGCCCCAGGCGACTCCCCTTGTCCCCACCGCTGTCCCCGTGCTCCGCAAGCACCCGGGGCCATGCCCAGCCCCGTTCCCATGGGAAGCCCAAAGCTGCGCCCGGCCGACGGGGCAGGGGACACCGTGTCCCGTCCAGGTGGTGACAAGCTGGCACCAGCCTGACAGCCCCTGGGCTGTCGGGAGGGGACGTGCGCGGTTTTGGGACCGTGGGACGCTGGCGGCGGTGAGCCAGCTCCCACCCTTGCCCCCCCCACGCCACCCTGGAGGGGACAGGGAGGGGACCAGTTGCCACCTTGGATGTGGCTTCGCCGCCCTTACCGGCTTGTACTCCGGCAGCCACTCGGGGATGTTGAGGTTGTTGATCTCAGAGGCGATCTTCTTCCTGTGCCCCGGCTTGGTGACACCGATGGCCGTGAGGTCCTGGGGCAGAGTTGGGGGGCGGGGAGGGTCAGTGCTGCTCCACACTGGCCGTGCCCCACTCCCAGTGGCACTGGCCAGCCCCGGTGTCCCCGCAGCCTCACCTCCGGCGTCATCCGGCTAATGGTGGTGATGTCGTAGCCGGCGTTGATGAAGTTGGGAGCGTAGAGCTGCAGCTGGAACTTGCAGAGCCACTGGTACACGGCCTCCGAGCTCTGGGGCGAGAGGGACGGCACGGCTTGGGGTAACCCCGGGGACGGGCACCCACGTCCCCCCCCCCGGGGCTGTCCCCACACCCATCCACGTTCCGGCACCGCAGCGGGGCTCCCCAGGCTGGCTGTACCCCGGGGCGTGCGGGGGGCTGGTGCCGTGGAGCAGGGAAGGGGGGGGGGGGGGGGGGGGCCAGCAGCCGCAGGGATGACTCACGCCGCTGGCTCCCGGCACGGCACAGCACCCCACGGGCACTGCACCCAGAGCCACGCCAGAATTGACGGTCCCTTCACAGGGGTGCCAAAGCAACGGTGGCTACGGGTGCTGGGGGGTGGGGGGTGGGTGGCCCTGCCGCACGGCCGTGCCCCAGCATCACCACAACCCCGTGGGGGTCCCCACGCCACCCCAGCCCTCCCCACTCACCTTCCCCTCCGACGGCGGCTCCATCTTCTTCAGCTGGGGCTCGGCGGGGGGCTGGGGGGCGTACGGGGAGCTGGCCACGCTCTGCGACCGCGACGAACCTGCCGGAGAGGTGGCGGTCAGCGGGGCTGGGGGCTGCGCGGCCCCTGGGCTCCGGCCAAACCCCCGTCCCGGGTGGGATGGCACAGCCACGGCCCCCCGGGTCGGCAGGGCATGAGAGAGCAACACCCACCCCAGCACCTCGGGGTGCCCTGGACGCAGGGTCCACTCCCCCGGGATGGGCAGGGGTGGTGGGGGTCTGCCATTGGGTCACAGCACCCCTCACTGATCGGGGTGCCCACCCACCCAGAGCCAGGCGAGCCCCCAGCGCGGCCGGGGTGCTGCAGCGGGATCCAGCTGCGGTGGGAGCGGAGCGGGTGGTTCCCTGGCTGCCCACCTCCCCAGAGCCCCCCGGCCCCGTGCCACCACCCCACACCAGGGCTCATCCCCCCGCCATGCCCCGCAGCGAGGGGTCCAGCTGGGGAGGGCGAGCTGGCACGAGCTGCCTTGTCCCCCAGCACCCCCCCCCCCGCCGCGGTGCCCACCCTCCCGCTGGTGCCTTCGCCAGCCCTGGGGGTGACGAGGGCTGCCCAGAAATTTCTAATTTCTGCCTCATGTTTCTGATCAGGACCAGCAAAAGCAGCCTCTTCTCCTCCCACCCCGCTTCACTGGCAACTGCATCCTCCGTGTGTGCGTGTACAGGCGGCATGTGTGTGCGTGTGCACCCCCCCCACCGTGTGTGCATGTGTGTGTGTGTGTATGTGTGTGCGTGCACATCCTCCTTGCGTGTGCATCCTCCTGGCAGCTGCATCCCACTTGCGTGGGCACCCTCCTCCCGTGTGCATCTCTCTGCCGGGTGCATCTCCCTCCCGTCTGCATCCCACTTGCGTGTGCATCTCTCCAGCATGTGCTTCCCTCCCTCCCCACTCCACCCCCCCCCCCGCCCCCCCCAAACCTCAACGTGTGCACCCTCCCTTCTGTGCGTGCGTCCCCCCCCCCACTCCTCCGTCTGCATCTCCGCAGCCCGGGCATCCCCCCACACATTCATCCCCCACGTGTGCATCCTCCTCGCCTGTGCATCTCCCAGCTGCACCCCACCTCCCCTCCCTTCTCGCCCCCCCCCCCTCCACTCCCTCCCCCCCCCCAGCCCAGCGTGTGCCTCCCCCACGGCGTGGGCACCCCCGCGCCGTGGCCATGCTCCCCACAGCCCCCCCCCGGATGGCAACGGCGGGGGGGGACCCCAGCTCGGGCTCCGGCGGGACTGGCGGGGGGGGCCGGGGGGAGGAGCGCTGCCGCCCCCCCCGCCTGCCCACGCCACCCCCCCCCCACGCCCCCCACGGGGTCCCCCCCACTAACCGAGGCAGGAGAAGGCCTGGCAGCAGCCGAAAGGCGAGAGAGTCATTTTTTACCCACACGTTTTTCTTCTGGCGATGGGTGCCGTGGCAATAAAAAAAACAAAAAAAGACAAATCCCGGGATCCACGGCACGCCCGCGGCAGGGCCAGGGCTCCTCCTGCTCCCGGCAGCCGGCGGCCGGCGACACGCACCTGCGGGGATGTCCTGCGCCTTGGCCGGCCCATCGCCCACGACAGTCTCTTGCGCAGAAGCCTTCTGGGAAAGGACCGTTGCCAGCAGCTGAAAAACACCCCGAGGAAAGCGGGGGGGAGAGCAGGCAGGAGAGTGAGGCGAGCGGGGGGCGGTGAGGTGGGGGGGGGGGGGGGGGGCGACACCGCGGGTGCTGCCAGCCCCGGGTGAGGGTGGGCAAGGGAGGGGTGCAGCAGCCTGGGGCTGCAGCGGGGAGAGCGGGAGCAGCACAGATGGTGCTTGGCAGGCAGCGGGAGAAGCTGAGTGTGTGTGTGTGTGTGTGTGCGTGTGCGTGTGTCCCTCCCCTGCACCCCGAATCCAGCCTGATGCACCCCCGGCACAGGCTGCCAGCCCGAGCTGCCGGGCCCCCATCTCCGCTGCCGGCAAAGCGGGGTCCCCACGGCCGGCAGCGCGGGGCTCGGTTTGGGGGCACGCAGAGCCCCTGCACCCAGCCTGCTTGGGGGGGGGGGGGGGGGCACACGGTGCCTCGGCCGGGGGATGTGCAGTGCAGCGCTTGCAGCAGGCAGCACGCTGGCGGCAGCACGCAGCATGCAGTGCAGGGCAGGGCAGTGCAGGGCAGTGCAGTGCAGGGCAGTGCAGGGCAGTGCAGTGCAGGGCAGGGCAGGGCAGTGCAGGGCAGGGCAGGGCAGGGCAGGGCAGGGCAGGGCAGTGCAGGGCAGTGCAGTGCAGTGCAGGGCAGGGCAGTGCAGTGCAGGGCAGGGCAGGGCAGTGAAGGGCAGGGCAGGGCAGTGCAGGGCAGGGCAGGGCAGTGCAGTGCAGGGCAGGGCAGTGCAGGGCAGGGCAGGGCAGGGCAGGGCAGGGCAGGGCAGTGCAGTGCGGTGCAGTGCAGGGCAGGGCAGGGCAGGGCAGGGCAGTGAAGGGCAGGGCAGGGCAGTGCAGGGCAGGGCAGGGCAGTGCAGTGCAGGGCAGGGCAGTGCAGGGCAGGGCAGGGCAGGGCAGGGCAGGGCAGTGCAGGGCAGGGCAGGGCAGTGCAGGGCAGTGCAGGGCAGGGCAGGGCAGTGCAGGGCAGGGCAGTGCAGGGCAGTGCAGGGCAGGGCAGTGCAGGGCAGTGCACTGTGCAGAGGCACCCAGAGAGCGGCAGCACAGGCACGGCAGCAGCCTCGGCCGGCCCCTCCCCACGCCAGCAGCCCCTGCCCGGCCCCGACGTCGCGCCGGGGGCTGAGCCAGCAGCTGGGGACCGGCCAGGAGGGGACACGCCGGTGGGCACCGTCAGGGCCAGCTGCGGGTGCTGGGGGGGGGGGGCACGCTGGGTGCTGGTGGGACCCCACAGCACCCAGCCGAGCATCAGTCCCGGCGGGGACTGCCAAGGCAGCAAACGTCCTGCCCCAGGGCGAGCGCCGGTGCCAGGACTGGGAACGGAACCCAAATGTCACCGCAGGCTGGCACGGCCACCTCGGGGCTCGCCTTACCTTGACGCCTTCGGAGCCAGCGTGCAGGGCGTGCGCCCCGCTGCCCGCGCTCTGCCCGCTCCCCGAGCTGCGGGCAGAGGCCACGCTGCCCGTGCTGCCCAGGCTGCTGCGGTCACCACCTGCGCGGAGAGAGAGGAGATGCCGTCAGGGCACCGAGCCCCCCGCCACCCCAGGGGGCAAGGGGAGGGGAAGGGGGGGGGGGGCTGTGGGGGTCCCAGCAGCGCGCACCCGCCGTACCTGCGAAGGGTTTCCGCAGCACCCAGATCTCCTCGGCGGGAGCCGGCGCGGCCGATCCGCCCTGCGACGGCGAGAGGTGGGACGGGCTCATGTCGGCCCCACGGGACCCTTGGCGGCAGAGCAGAGAGAGCAGCCGTCAGGCCGGCGTGGCCCCCGCACCGGGGTGGCACAGGGAGGGGTGACCCCGGGGCCCGTCACTGCCGCACGCCGGGAAAACCCCGCAGCGAAGGCGTGGGGGTCCCCGGCCATGGCAGTGCCCAGGGATGCCAGCGCTGTCCCATGGGGGGCTTATCCCCCCCTAACAAGCAGCTGGCTCGGGGTGACAGTGACCAGCTTGGGACATCCCCACCCTGCGGCCAGATCTGGTGGGGGGGGGGGGGGGGGTGAGGGTCCCCAGTGCCCCTGCTCAGCCCGTGCAGGCGACAGGGACTGTGCCAACCCTGTGCGGAGCAGGATGGGGACGTGACCCGGTGTGGGGGAGCAAAGGGGACGGGGCAAACTCGAGCGGTGGGGACCAGGGTCCCCACCCCGCTGTCCCTCAGCCAAGGGCCCCTGCAGCTGCCTGCACCCGTCTGGGGGAGAACGTGCACCAGGTGCTGAACCCCCCCCGCCCCGGCGCTCCTCAGGGTGCCCCATGGTGACACAGCAGTGGGTGAGGGGACCCGGGGTGTGTGTGTGTGTGTGTCCCCTCCGTAAAGCACCATCCCCTCACCGGCTCACCGCGCTGCCGGGTCCTGCCCGCACCGGGGCCGCCCGGCGTTGAGAACAGCATCGGGTGAGACGGACGAGAGCCCTGCGAAGCCCGGCACTGCCACAGCCCCGTCACCGGCCACCGAGGAGCCCAACCCCGTCACCGGCCCCAGGACACGGCCACCCTGCCACTGCCCACGCTGGTTTTGTTCGTTAAGCCGCTCAGGCCGTTAGCAACCGGCCCGGAGCAGGACGGGGACGGTACGGGGTGATAAAGTCACCGAAGGAGCAGGCGGGGGGACCAACGGCCGCGCCGCGATGGGGCTGAGGCGTCCCCGGGCTGCGCGTGCCGCGGCCACACCGAGGGGAGCCCCGTGAGACCCAGCGGGGACACAGAGTCCCCGCGGAAAAGTTCCTCTGCCTTGTCCTCGTCACCAGCGTGGCCAGCCCGGTGCTCTCCCAGCACAACCGCTGCCACCACGGTACATGCAAAGACACACACACACCGCCCCCCCCCCAGCCCCCAGCCAGCCATCGGCAGCCCCCGTGGGCACGGCACGGGCTGCACCCCTGCAACCCCCCCCCCGCCAAATATCTGCTCTCTGGGTGCTCCCGACACACCAACACGCAGCACCCGTCACCCACCCGCGGTGCGGGGACGGTCCCCAGGGTGCCAGCCCTGAGAGCAGCACACCCCCCCCCCGGCCCCGGCACTGCAGCCCCTTCCCGCTCTCGGCGCACAGCCCCGGCTCGGTGGGGGTCAGACCCCCAGCACAGAGCCTGGAGGGTGGTTTTGGGGGTCCCCGCACACCTGGACCCCCCCCCCCATCCAGGGGACCCAGCCGGGGACACGGCGGGGTGAGGGTGGGCTGTGCCGGCAGCAGCAGGGCTGGGGGTCACGCAGGGCTGCAGCAGCGCTGAAAAGGGCATTTTGGGGGGGGGGGGGGGGGCCTGGCAACATGTGTGTGTGCACGCACACGCCTTGCACATGCCTTGCACACGCCTTGCACGCACCTGCGTGCGAACCCCGCCACGGCACGGGGCGAGGGGAGAGAGGCCGAGCAGAAAGAAAAGACTCGATGCACGCTTTAAAGGAAAAGAAAGAAATCCATGGAGAGCACGAAGCGAGCGGTGAACTACCTTGTCCGTAACGCGGCTCGTCGGCACTGCTAGGGGAGAGCCTGCGATAGCCAAAGGAACTGAAAAGAGTCTGATGGGAATGTGGTGGTGGAGGTGGAGGTGGAGGCAGGGAATGGAACGGATGGGACGAGGCGTCACCGTTTAGCACAGCAGCCCCGTAAGCCGGGAGCGGGATCTTTTGGTACTGTTGGGGGATTGTTACAGTCTCCCATGAACCTGATAATAAAACATAACAAGAGACAAAATGAAAAGAATCAAAATAAGAGAGACGTGCTCAGCGCTGCCAAAAAAAAAAAAAAAAAAAAAAAATTAAAAAAAAAAAAAAAAGGAGGAAGGGGGAAAAAAAAAAAAAAGCAGCAAACAAAAAAAAGCAACCAAAGGAAAGTGGAGAAGCCAGAACTGAGGCCCAGGTGATGCGGGGCCGAGCTGAGGAGCAGCAGCAGGAGCTCAGCGCAGGGCCCAGCCTGGTGGCAGGATACGGCCCCCGGCCCTACCACGGCTCCCCGGCGGGACACGGGCACGGGGGCAGCCCCACGCTCGGGGCAGCGGCAGCTCGTGGGGCTCCCACAGCCCGGCTGCCGGGGGTCCCGCTCCCCGTAAAGGCGTCCTGGGAGGAGGGGGGGGGCTGCAGGCACGGCCGGGCTGGGGGGCTGCAGCACCAGCACCCCCCGCACCCAGCCGGCCAAACCCGGGGGGGGCCAGCCGCCACCTGCACCCCAACGCTGCTGCGTGGGATGGCAACGAAACCCCACACCCTGGCCAACGGTGCTGGGGGGCCAGCTGCACCCCGGGGAGCCACAGCCCCTTGTCCCCGGGGTACCGGCACCCGCAGGGCGGCTCTGCCCCTGCCCGTGGCTCCTCCGCAGCCCCCGCGGCCGTGCCCGGCACCCGCCGCTCCCTTGGGATCTCGGTCGAGTGCCACCATTCCCTGCTCGTGGCCCCCGAGATCGCGTCGGGGATGGGGCAGCGTGTGGCTGCCCCGGGGGCGGGGGGAGCAGTGAGCTGGTCGATGTGGGACCTTTCAAGCCACCCCATCACGCCGGTCCTGGCCGTGGGCACAGCCAACGGGCCACCCCGGGGGTCCGCGCCTGGGATGGGGACGGGGACAGGCAGCCGCAGGGCAAGGGGGGGGGCAGGGTCCGATCCCTGAGCCGGCCCCTGGCCAGGGAGAGGGTCCCCATGGGGCAGCGCTGGGTCGCTGGCACTGGTGCCCAGCTCCCCCGCCTTGCTCAGACCCCAAACACCAGATCCTGCAGCCCCCACTGCTGCAGCACCGCCCCCCCCAAACCGCAGTGACACCCCCAGCTCTCCCCACGCACCGGGCCCCTCGGCACCGCAAATGCCTCCCCCAGCCCAGCACCGGCCTGGCGCCGGGGCTGCCGGCACCGACCCCCCCCACCCTCTGTGGGGACACCGGCCCCACATACACAACGGGGGGACACCAGCCCCACACGCGCAAAGGCACCGGCCCCACGGTGGGGGACACCGACCCCCCAACATGCACCATGGGGGGCATCGCCCCGGCTTGGCTTCACCGCCTGCACCCCCCCCCCTCCCCACCTCCAGGCACCACCAGACCGAACCGGGGCTCCCTGGGGCTGCGGGTTTGGGAGCTGGGGGGGGGGGGGTGGTGGTGGTGTGGGGGGGAGGCGGATTATTTGCCTGTTCGTTTGCTTATGGCCTCGACGAGGCTGGAGGGGAAGTAGCCCACGCGGTCGTTGCCGGTCCGGTTGTCGTGAATGCAGCCCTTCCAGCGCCCGTCCGCGTGCTGCTCCAGCACCTGCGGGCAGGGGATGGTGTCACCAGTGGGGTGGCCCCGGTGTCGTGTCCCACCCTCCCCCCCTTGACCCCCCCCCCCGCCACACTCACGGTGATGACATCCCCGGCTTTCACGTTGAGGCTGGTCAGGTCGTAGTTGTTGCAATAATCCTTGACGGCCCGGACCTGCAGAGCGGCCGAGGCGTCTGCGGGGACAGAGCGGGAAGCGTCGCCGGCCGCCCAGCCCCGGGGGGGGGCTCTCACCCCCAGCCCGGCATCCCCACCCCCCCCCCAGCGCCGGCACAGCCGCCCCATAACTCCCCCCCCCCCCCCGCCCCCCCCTACCCCGCAGCATCTGCTTGATCTCCTTGCTGGCCTGGCTGGTGGTGAACTGGTTGACAATGTCCAGAGCCGTCTGGTTGTAGGTGTTCCTGACGTGGGCGTTGATCCCGCTCTGCAACGGCATGGAGAGGGCTTGGGAGGAGGCTGGACCCCACCGCCCCCCCCCCGCGCTGCAGACACCCCCCCGGGACCCCCCCCCCCAGGCCACCCCCCAAGACCGGCACAGCTCACTGCCTTGGTGCGTGTCCCCCCCAGGACCCTCGCTGCCATCCCAGAAGGGGCACGCATGCTGCTGCAGGGTCACTGCTTTCCCTCAGCCCCTCCCTGGGCTGGGGCGGGGGGGGGGGGGTGGGAATCTGGGGGGGGGGGGTCGGGGGGGGGCCCTTACATCCAGCAGCAGCCGCACCACGTCCGTTTTGCCACACAGGGCCGCCTCGTGCAGCGCCGTGCCCGCCTTGGTTTGCCGGTTGATGTCGATGCCGGCTTGAAGCAGGAGCCTGCGAGCAGATGGGGGGGGGCGGTGTCAGTGGGGATGGAGGGACACCCACCCCCACACCCCCCCCCCCGCCCCTGGCACCCACCGGATGATGTCGATGTGGCCGTTCTTGGCGGCGAGGTGCAGGGGGCTGGTGCCGTTGGGGTCGGTGGCGTCCCCCGGTTTGGGCTCCAGCAGCGCCGCGCACATGTTGCTGTTCAGGAGCAGTTGGACCACCTGGCTCAGCAAACACAGACGGAGCAGGGCTGCAAGGGCGGCTCAGCCGCGGCCCCCCCAGCCCCTGCCTGCCCCCCCCCCCGCCTCCTCCAGCACCCAGACATTCCCCCCCCCCATCTCCCCACCCTTGGCCATCCCGGGAGCTGCCCTCTTCCCCCCTCCAAGACGGCTCCAGCACCCCCAGGGACCTCACCGTGCCCCCCATCCCCTCCCAATCGGGGGTCCCGGCACTTCAAGGACTTACCCCGACCCGGCCAAACTCGCACGCCAGATCCAGGGGGGTCTTCCCCGAATTGTCCATGATGCAGGGGTTGGACTGGTGCTGCAGGAGCATCTCCGACTGCGGAGGAGCGAGAGCCCCCGGCTCGGTGAGGGCAGGGAGGGCAGCACAGGCCCCACCCCAAAAAACCCCCCCGACCCCTCTGCCAGCCCCACCGTACCACGTCGTAGTGCCCATGCTGGGCTGCCAGGTGCAGGGGGATCTGGCCCTCGTCTGACGGGATGTTCACGGAAGAACCCGCTTTCAGCACCATTTTCATGGGCTCCTTCTTGCCCTGCCAAGCCGCGTAGTGCAGGGGCCTCATGCCTGCGGGCGAGCGGGGGGGACGGGCACCCCGTGAGCCCCCTGGGGCCAGTGCCCGGGGTGGGGGGGGCGGGGGCCGCAGCCGGGCCGCAGGGACTTGCCTTTGTTGTCCTTGATGTCCACGGCAGCCTGCGCCTCCAGCAGCAGCGAGATGAGCTCCGTGTTGCCGTTGAGCGCCGCATGGTGCAGAGCCGAGAACCTGGGGACCGCCCGCGGGGTCAGGGCGGGGGGCGAGGTGTGTGGGGGGGTCCCACATCCCCGTCCCCTCCGCAGCCCTGCCTGGTTGCAGCCAGCACCCACCGCGGCACCCCGGGGCGTCCACTCTGCCTCCCGCAGCTCCCCCCCCCCCTCCCCGTGTGCATGAGCACCCCGGACAACCCCACCCCTACATCCCTCCAGGAGCAAGAGCTGCCGCAGGGACCCGCCGTGGCCGAGCCACGAGCCGGCCACGTCCCCGCACGCAGCAAGGGCCGGAGGGTGGGATGTGCGGGGGGCGGCTGTGAGTTTGTTCTCCAGCCCATTCACTTTATTTATCATCCTCTGGGGCCCTGCAGCCGTAGGGCAGACCCCCACGGTGGGACACAGGGCTGGGGACACCCCGGAGCTGGGGACGACACCCCTGGGTCTGATCTGGGGACGCTGGAGTGAGATGGATGCAGATGAAATGCTCCCTGGGGCTGCTGAGACCCGCTGGGGCTGTTGGCAATGGGCACAGGAGGCATGGGGGGGTTGGGGGGGTGTCCCACTGAGGCAGGGGTGTGGGGGGCCAGTCTCCCCACTGACCCACTTCCCCCAGCCTGGCCCTGGCAGCACGACCACAGGCACTGGCACACAGTGGGGGGGGGTTGTCCGGGATGTTGGATGGGAGCTAGCCTACTTGCTGCTCCCGGCAGCAGCATCCTCTGCGCTGGCCCCCGCCACCCCGCTCACCCACAGCGTCCCCATCCCATCCCCACGGCCACCCCGGTGTCACTGGAGCAGGGGAACAGGCTGCGGACCCCAGCGGGACCCGCCAGCCCCCACGGCTGCTGGGTGCCCGGGAGGCGAGCAGCGGGGCAGCGATCCCTTCTGCCCCCCCAGCACCAGGACCCGCAGCTGAAGCTGGGGGGGGGGGTGGGGGTGGGAATGTGACCCCCCCCTGCCCCCCCGTGGGGAGCACGCCCCGGCCACCACGCTCCCGCCGGCGGGGAGCGGCGATGCGAGCAGACAGCTGGCGCAGGAGGCTCGATCCCCAGCGCCTGCCTGGGAAATGTCAGCGTGTTCCGCTCCAGCGCCCTGCTCCAATCCGCTCAAGATGGTGCAAATCACAGCCCCCCCCCCCCTCCCCCCCCCAACAGGGCTGCCTCGGGGGCTTCCCCCCCGGCACGGCGCGGCAAAGGCCACGCTCTGCGCAGGACCCCGTCCCCGGGGGCGAGCACGGCAGAGATGGGGAAACTGAGGCACGGCACCGGTGGCAGAGCGGAGCGCACAGAGGCTGCAGCTTGGGTCTGCCCTGTGCACGCCCAGGGTGGATTTGTTGCGGGTGCAGGGCTGCTCCAACATCCCCCCCCAAAACCACCCGGGAGCTGCCACCACCTTGCACAGGGGGGCGAGGATGAGGAGGAGCCGGGGCGCTGCAGCCGCGTGTCCCCAGGGCATGCCCTCCCGTTCCTGACCCCATCTGCCCCCCCCCCCAGCTCACCCCACCATTTCCGTGACCGCAGCAGAGCTGCGCGGGGCTCCCACTCACCCGTCGGTGTCTTGGAAGTTGACGTTGACTCTCTTTGCCGATCCAAGGAGCTCTGGGAGGGAGGGAGGGAAGGGGACAGCACGTTAGAGTGGCACGGGAGGTGGCCGGGGAGGTGATGAGGCTGCAGCTCCAGGTTTCGGCTCCCTGCAGCTCGGGCCAGGGCGCAGCACGGGGCCGTGGGGGGCTCAGGGTGGAGGGGTCCCGAGGGCCTCTCCCGGCACCACGGTCTCTGTCCACCCGGGCTGCTGTGGGTTTGCCAGGGGTTCCCTCCCCGGCTCTTTCGCCTCGCTGGGGCTCCAGCACGGCCCCGTGGAGCCCGGGGCCACACCGAGCCGGGCGGCTTGGGCAGAGCGGGGAGCTCGGCACGTCCCCCGCAGCTCACCGCCCGGCACTGCCCCACTCCCACCCCGCCCTGGCCTGCGTGGGAAAATAAACCTCCTCGGGGCAATCCAATTAGCACCGTGAGGAAGGAGGATGGAGGCAGATTTACATAAGATTTAACCGAAAAATGCCACTCAGGCTTTCCAGTGAGCCTGCTCTTCCTCGCGACCCTCAGCGGGGAGCCGGAGCGGGAGGAAGAGGAGGGTGGCTGCAGCAGGGCACAGCCCCGAGCTGGGGACCCACGGTGCAGCCCCCACGCCCGCCGCAGCCGAGCCCCGTGTCTCCTTGTCAGCATCCCGGCGTGATATTCAATTATTTGGCAGAAAGGGTTGTGTCAGCAAACGGGGCGCAGGGGACATCGGTGGCGGGAAAGGTGCTGGGCTGAGCCCCCCCTGCCTGGGCCACGCTGGTCCCAGGGGTGGCCGGGATGGTGGAAGAGGTTTCTCCCTGCCCACGCAGAGGCTCTGGGGGTCTGGCACCCGGCACTGGCTCCGTCCCACACTCCGTCAGCCACCCGACAGCCCGAGCCGCAGGACGTTTGCTAATGATGCCACAGCCCGGTGCCGCCGGGCGAGAGTGACGGAGGACGGCTTCTGAACGGCCACGACAATCGGCCCCCGTCAGCCAGGTCGCCCAGTTTCTCCTCCTGGCACACGGTGCTGCGGGGCAGCTGTGGGATGAGAAGGGACACCGCAGGGTCCCCGGGGTGTGGGGAGGGACAGGGCCACCGCGGGGTCCCCACAGCCAGCCCCACACACCCCCCTTCCAGCAAACAAAACGCCACCAGCCCGAGCCCCCGGCGTCGGAGCAGCCTCCGTGCCCCAGCAGCCCGCACTGGTGGTTTAACACAGTAACAAACGACCCCAGCAACAACCCCCCGTGGGGGCGGCCAGACCCAGGGAGCAGCCCCCCCACATCCCATCCCTGTGCTCCCCCCGGGAAGGGATTGGATGTTGCTGGTGGGCAGAGCCCCCCAATAGCGGGACCGACCGCAGCGGCCGGGGCTGAGCGGGTCCCCGCCAGCCCCAAGCTGCCGCCTGGCACCCCAACAAAGGTGCCATTCAGCGCCGGCGGAGGGGAGCCCAGGGCCGCTTCCGCTGCCGCCCCGCGCCAAGAAGCAGCTCCCAGGAGAAGGGGGCCGAGCTGGCCCCCCAGGGATGTAAAAAGGCCGGCGGACAAAAGGAGCCGGCGGGCGCAAGAGCGGCACCGTGCCCAGCACTGGCTCTGATCTCCGGCCCCGAGACGGGCCCCGCTCCGGCTACCCGGTCCTTGCAGACGGACGGACGGATGTCAGCAGGTCTGCGGTGCCTGGCCTTTCCCACGGCTTGCTCCCAGCGAGGGGCTGGGATGGGGCAATGCCCGGGGATTGGCGTCGCGGGGTGCGGCGGTGATGCCACCGATGGCACTCACCCCCGCACCCCGCGATGCCGGTCCCCGGGGGCGTGCCGGCGGCCCCCAGCACCGGCCAAATCGGCATCAGCCGAACACACCGTAGCGGCAAATCTCTCCTCCCTGCACCTGCAGGAGAGGCTGCGGCTGCCAAAATCTGTTTAGCACTTCCATCAACGCCCGTGCCAAGTGCTTAGTCAGTGACTTCCAGCCGCGCAGCGGTTTGACTTTCGTTAAAGCTCTGGCGGTGGCCACGAGCCTGCCGGTGCCTTTGCCGGGCTGCGGCGAGCTCGGGCCCCGGCGTGGCTTCCAGCGCTGCCACGAAAGGTCTTTATGTGCAGCACCAGTCTGATGGGGAGCAGAAGGGGGGTCCCGTGTCCTCCTGGGGTGCAGCAGCCCAGGGAGGTGTGGATGGTGGCACCCCCTGCGGTGTCTGGACCAGCACTGGGGCCCTGGAGGGACAGTGGCTTTGCACCCGCAGGGCAGGGGAGGCGGCAGCCGCCGCGCCAGCCGGCACCACCAAAGCTCCAGAGGAGCAAAAACCCCTCACGCCGTGGTCCTGCAGCCCGGTAATTAAGCCCTTTCTGTAACGAAGCAGCGTGCACTGGCAGCCTGGCACAGGGCACAACGGAGCCGTGCCGAGGGCGCAGCACCGCAGCCGGAGCCTGGAGCCCACCCGGACCCTCACAGTTCCTGGGGCAGGGGGGGGGGAGCAGGATGGGCACCCCAACCCACCGCCAGATCAGCACCCCGGGGGGCTGTCTCAGCCCCGCTGCTGCCGTGCGGGATTTGAAGCCTGGCTGAGGGCAGCGAGATGCTGGAGAGCTCGTTAATGGCTGGGAAGCACAAGGAAAACTCCTCCGCTAATGAGGGAGAGGGAAGGGGGCTGAGAGCGCTGCCAATTAAAAATACCGGCCCCAAAGGGAGACGCGCCTGGCAGGGCGGAGAGCAGGGCTCCTGCGCGGCCGCGCTGCCGGCGAGAACTGAGCGTGTCCCTCGCCGTCCTCCCTGCCAGGATCACCGGGGGGCAGGGGGGGGTGACAGAGAGCATCGAGCACCCACGAGCACTGCCCACGCAGCGGCAGGCGCCGGGGCCATCGAGCCGGCGTCGCAGCGCGGAGGGATGGTGACACCCCCGGTGCTGGGGCCCTTGCTCAGACCGCCCGAGCCCCACCACTGTCTTTGGGACACCCCGGCACCCCCTCTTTGCTGAGCACGGGCTGCTCAGGTGATGGTCGTGCCACATGGGAGCACAGGGCTCCCCTTGCACCCCAACCCCCCCCCCGCCCCCGCACGGCTCTCGGAGCAGCTTGCACCCCGTGAGCACCCCGAGGGGCCGTGAGACGGTGCTGAGCAGGGTCGGGCAGGACCACATCGCCAGCCCCGGGAAAAGGGGGGACGTGCTGTGCTGCCAGATCCAGGGAGCCCCAGCACCACCGGGTCCAGCTCCAGCCCCACGACTCTTGCACACGCCGGGAGCCGCAGCCGCCTGCCGTAGGCAGCGCCTATAAACAGCGTCTGCCGCGAGTAAACACCGCCGCGGGGAGCTCAGCCCAGCCGCTACTCCCAGAAATGCCTTTACTTAAACGCAAGGATCACAGCAGCTAAATGCACGCTTGAATTCAGCCCGGCGCGCCGCGTGCGGCCAGCTCCTCGCTGGGCTCCATCCTCCCCAGCCCGCGACGGCCCCGGGCGGGAACCGCGACAGCGGGCGAGGCACGAGCCGGTGGCACGTGCAGGGTCGGGTGGGCACGGGGAAGCTGCTGTGCCCGACCCCAGCATCCGGTAGCACATCACCCTCACCCCCTGCACCCCCTGTACCGGGCCTGGCAGCTGCTCTGGGCATCCCAGCGCGTGCTGCGAGGAGACCCCCGTGCCCGGCTGGTCCAGGAATCCCAGTGCATGTCATGGGGGAGACCCCCGTGCCCAACTACAGCCCCAGGAATCCCAGTGCATGTCACGGGGGAGACCCCCGTGCCCAGCTACAGCCCCAGGAATCCCAGTGCATGTCATGGGCAAGATCCCTGGGTCCAACCGCTGCTCTGGGCATCCCGGTGCATGCTGCAGGGAGACCCTCGTACCCAACAACAGCTCCAGGCACCCACGTGCACTCCACAGGGAGACCCCCGTGCCCAATCACTGCTCCAGGAATCCCAGTGCACTCCACAGGGAGACCCCCGTGCCCAGCTACAGCCCCAGGAATCCCAGTGCATGTCACGGGGGAGACCCCTGTGCGCGGCTGTTCCAGGAATCCCAGTGCATGTCACGGGGGAGACCCCTGTACCCAACTACAGCCCCAGAAATCCCAGTGCATGCCATGGCAGAGACCCCCATGCCCAGCTACAGCTCCAGGAATCCCAGTGCATGTCACGGGGGAGACCCCCGTGCCCAGCTACAGCTCCAGACACCCTTGTGCACGCCCTAGGGAGACCCCCGTGTGCCCGCCCTGTCCCTGCACACGTGCCCGAGGCCACAGGCCCACACTCTGGGACTTCTCCGTGCCCCCGGGGGCTCCTCTGCCTCCCCAACAGCGGGGCCATGCAGCGCCCGTCGGCGTGCTCCTGCGCCAGCCCCCCTGCATCGGCAGCCAGCGCAGCGCCAGCAGCGATCGATGCCCGGCCGGGGCGCGGGGGCTCCCGGCCAAGCCCCCGCTGACGAAGCACATCCTCGCCCAGCTCCCCCCCGGCAGCGCTGCGCCAGCTCGCAGGGAGCGGGCGGCTGCTCCGAGCAGATGGCTCCAGCCTCTGCTAAATCAACATCTACTTAATGAGGGGAAAGCCATCGCTGGCCCCCCGCTCTCTCCCCCCCCCCCCCCCCCAGCTTGGCGGCAGCAACGAATGAGCCGGGGCAAACCCCGCCAAACGCTCCTCTCCATCCCTTCCATCACCCCACTGCAGTGGTCCCCCTCCAGCCCCACCACTCCCCTCCATCCCCAGCCCATGTGGGCAGCAGGAGCCCTGCCTGTGTCCCCCCCCGGCCAGAGACCCCACAAGCACACCACCACCGAGTACCCCCGGGGAAGACATTCAAGGCAAAGCCAAGCGCCTGTTTCGGAGGAGGGGGGAGGACCCTGCAGCGACATTGCTGTGAGCTGCCGGATAAAGGAAGCATCCAAAATAGCTGCTCTTAATTATATCCTTGCTGACGAGCGCCACACAAACAACGGGCGCTGCAAGCGCTCGCTGCACGAGAAGCCCTGGCACGAGTGGTCTTATTCCTCGCAGCGAGGATGGGGTGCCCCCCTGGGGACCCCACAGAGGAGGCGGGAGCAGCTCCGCCTGG